GAGCACCGGATCGAGGCGCTGGTGCGCGCGGTGGAGATGCAGGGCGGCGGCGTGCGCGCCTCGCGCGTCTTAGTCAAGTGGGAGGGGCTGCCGCCCGAGGAGGGCACGTGGGAGCCTCGCAAGCACCTGCACCCCGAGGCGCTCGCTGATTTCGAGTGGGGTCGCGCGCTGCCGTTCGCGCTGTTCGAGCTGCTCGAGCTCGCGCCGCACGCGCCGCTGGAGGTGCTGGCTCGCGAGGGCCTCCTGCCCGTGCCCGAGCGGGAGCTGAGCGAGACGGAGAGCGACGGCGAGGGCGAGGACGGAGGCGGCGGAGGCGGCAGTGGCGGCGGAGTCGGCGACGAAGAGAAGGCGGAGAAGGCGGCGGAGACGGCGGGTGGGTGTGCGGAGAGCGGCGGGGGCGAGGGCGAGGGCGAGGGCGAGGGCGGGGGCGAGGGCGAGGGCGGGGGCTAGGGCGGGGGCGAGGGCGAGGGCGAGGGCGGGGGCGGGGGCGAGGGCGAGGGCGAGGGCTGAGGGTTGCGTGGCAGGGGAGGAGTGGCTCTCGGACGGGCACGAGCTGGTCGGGCAGCGGGTGGCGCGGCTCTTCCGCACCGGTGCCTTCCGAGAAGCTTCCTCGCCCACACACCACCGCACCCGTTCGAGAAGCTTCCACGCACCACCACCGCACCCAGCTTGCCGGATGCCTGCCAGAGCCTCCTCCCCTCTCCCGCCACCGCCGCCCTCGGCTCGCGTCTCCCGCCACCGCCGCCCTCGGCTCGCGTCTCCCGCCACCGCCGCCCTCGGCTCGCGTCTCCCGCCACCGCCGCCCTCGGCTCGCCTGACCCGCTGCTTGCCCGCCGCCCACCTCCCGCCGCCCCGCCGCCCTCAGACTCGGACGAGGAGCGCGTCGTGCTCGGCACCATCGCCTGCTGGGCGAGGGAGGACGAGGAGGCGGGCGACGAGGCGCTCTTCCGCTGCAGACACGACGACGGCGACCAAGAGGACCTCGACGAGGGGGAGGCGGTCGAGGGCGTGGCTTGCTACCGCGCCCTGTTAGCGCACAGCGGCCGGCACCACCCACGATTCCTCAGGT